GATTATTTTGAAAAAAATTTGAATAAATATGAAAGAAAACATAAATTAAAATCTTATATTTAAAATTAAATTAAATTTTTAATTATTTTTTATATTTAAGAGGGGAGATAATATGGTTTTTGTTTTATGCCAGGGGACACATGAAATTTTTGGGGAATGGCGAAATAACAAGACAGCATGCATACGCAAGTTACCATGTTGCTGATTTCAGACCTGCACGCAAATTGGGCTTTTACCCATTACTTGTCGTCTGTATCGGACACTTGCAGCAGCCCAATCATATCCCTATTTTTGTTTCCATGTATAGAAAAGAAAAAAAAACTTTACCTCTTTAAATTTTATCATATTAAAATAGTTACTGTGGTCATAATTCAAAATTATTTTTTATATATAAATATTATTAAATAATAATATAATCATTTTTTTTAAAAAAAAAGATAACATTGAAACTTTTTTTAATTATTAATCCAATCTTTAATTTTTAACACAAAACTCTTCAATTTTTTAAAAATTTTGGTTTGATAAAGTATCAATACAGTTTTTTCTACTCAAAATAATTCATTTTTTTAATTATTTCAATCATAAATACGGAGGTATTTTAACTATTTTTTTGGGTCTTTAATATAAGCTTTGTTTAATATAAATTACACTGCCAAACCATTTTATAGTATGGTAAGAGGAGGGTACTAAAAGTTTACAGAAAATGAAAGGGGATTGGTTTCTCAGTTCTCACGCATACTGAGTACGGACAAGGATGGATGAATAAGGTAGAGAGCAAAACGGCAACTTTAGTAAGCTTGTCCCCCATTCCCCTCACGGCAAGGTCTCAAATCTTGCTTTCTTCTTCTTCCAAAATCAAACCCTATCGATTTTTGAGAGTTACATTATTTTCGACTAGTTCAGACTGGTTGAGCTATGCACTCATTAATTAGCTCAAATCTAGGAATTGAATGTTAACAGAAGGATTGTGTTAATAAATAATCTATAAATACTCCTACAAAAAGCATGTTTGGTTTCACATTAGAAGCTAATTAGGATTTTAGTTACATACGTAGAAGTCTTGGTGTGTGCAAGGACGGAGGACAAAACGGGAATCCGGTCAAAGTCGGCACCCGTGGAACAAGCTTTTCAAACCCTCACATCGTCAAATACGTTAAGATTTAAGAAGCAGTGCCCAACTGAAACATGTAATGCACAGTTGAGTTTCACATTTGTTTTTCTCAGATTAGGACGCTTCTTGTTCTGCTCCTTTGACATTTCAATTCATGCATGAGTTCCCAACAATTTTTTTTTTTGGTAAGGGGGTGGTATCGAACCCGCAATACACACATACCACTCGGCCAAATAGCCAGTGAATTCCCAACATTTTAAGAGAAATAAGTTTGTCTTGCTTATGACCAAAAAAAGTTTGTCTTGCCTATTGTCCATCAGATCTTAACGTAAAAGATAGATAATTAGAGATTTAATTTAGTACTTAATTTGTTGAGTAGGTAAGCTTACAGAACTTGCAGGCAAGGATCAAACCCTGATTCCTAGTGCCACAAGGACACCCTGCGTGCCACGAGGCCAATAGGCTTCAAGCTAATTTAGTATTAAATATACGATTTTAATTTATTTTATTTTTTATATTTATTTATTTTGCTTTCAAGTAATTCTTATGGTTGTTGAACACGTTAGTGAGTTATATCAAGAGGTAATTCAAATAAACATGATTAATGGGTATTTTAGGAACACTAATTTAAGTAATTTTTAAAATTTTTGCAAATTAATTATTTAGTTTTTATATTAACAACATAGGCATTATATGATTAAAAACGTCTCGTGAATATTTGTTGAAGGGACTATGCAAAAATAATTTGTTGAGCATAAGATCCCAAAGAATAGTGTGCATGAACAGCGTCTTATATATCACGTTTTAGTTCACGGACATGGGTCAGACTTATCAAATTGTACATTCAAGGTTGAGGTAGTAGTTTAAGAGGTGGGTGGATTAGATTGGGATCAACTAGAAATCAAACCAATTATGTTAAAATAATATAATTTAATTAAAAATAATAAAATAAAATAATATTAATAATCCATAATAACAAAATAAAAGAAAGTACAACAACAATTTGATTGTAACAATAATAAAGCACAACAACTATGAGAATTTTAATCTTTACAATTCTTCAACAACTAAAATTAATAATCATTGATACCAAAATTATCATTAAAATTTATTCAAATCTATAGCGATTGAAATATTAAGAGTTGAATGATGTAAAATTGGATCAATAGCAACATAATCATCCAATCTAGTTTTCACAGCTCCACTCCTAGTTTGATCGGGTTAATGACGGTTCAATTTTTAGCCGGTCCGAAGTACTCAAACCAGATCGGATCACTAGCAGGTTTAGTGGTTTTCTGGTTGAACCATCCAATTTGGGCTAGTTTTTTCCATTGGTTTTTATCTTATTTCTTTTGATTTTTAAAGTTTATATAATGTCAAAGATATCTTAATATCTTATGCTGATCAAACAATACAATTTATACCCCTCCACTCTTTATTAAGTCACTCCTACTTCATTCTCACCTGCCAAAAGATACATTAAATTATTGTAACAAACAAAAAAAGATACATTAAATTATAAATATTCCCAATTGATAGAGGTTGGACCGTGAGGACTCGAGCCATCGTTCACGGTGCAAATGAGGCTGCCAATTTTCCTGCTAAAAGAGTCTTATCGTGTTCTCCGGTGCTTTACCCCTTTAGTTGTATTTTGTTGAGTTAGATGCTTTCTGACTTGAATAATTTTGTTCAGGCTAGTAGTTGTTAAACTGAACTCCTTTGTTATTGCATTTTTTTTTCTCTCTATATATTTACAAATAATTCTCACAGGTTTGTCACATTTTTTCTCTTTTTTCAATAAGAATTAAGTAAAGGTAAAATTAAAAAAAAAATCATTGAATACCTTACAAGTGTTTTATATTTAGGACCTAAAGTTTCTTCTACAAGTGACTTATGTAAGGACTAGAGTGATATGTTTTTACGATTTTACAAAGCAAATAAATCAAAATTGCACGCTTTTCTTTTAAAAATTATAAAAATATAAAATTATACTCTTTTATCACCATAAGTTATTAGAATGTCTCTAATTTTATATAGAATTTAATTATTAAAAAGAAAAAAAATTGGTAGGTTGAGGCATTAAAAGGAGTACGAGAGGCCCATTTGAGTATGTTTTTGTTTATGCATTGCATTCCAATTCGTTTTGGGCTATTGATGCATTGGGCTGAAAAAAAAAAAGAGGTTGGTGTGCCTTTTTTTTTTTCTCTCTCTCTTTTCCTAAGTATAGATATCTTCCTATTCCATGCAATCCTAAACATGGTCACTTCTTTTAGTATGGATTCAAATCTCACTTTAACACGTTATCAAAAATTAGTCTCTTCTATTAAATTCAACCTTTCATAGTAAGTTTGCTATGTTATCACGCATTGAAGAAGACTATTGACGCGTTGGGCTATGGACTGAGGTCCAATTGAGGTTTTTAAAAATGCATTTAGATCTTTTCCATTGCGCCTGGACCAAAAAAAGAAGGGAAAATTACACTTAGGTCCCATAAAAGGTAATTAATTTAAAAAAGTCTCTAAAAATTCTGAAATGATTACTAAGTCCCTAGGGACCTGTATGTAATTAATTGTAATTGTGAAATTACCTATTTACCCCATTAATTTGAATCTAATGTAATTCATTTACAACATCAGCAGTAACTGTTGACAACTCGAGGAGAGATGGTTGACAACCTCAGCAATGCCCTTGGCATCCCACTCTGAATTGCTGCAATAAAATTAATAGGGATAAATAAGTAAATTTACAATTATAATTTATTACACACAGGTCCTTGAGGACTTCAAAATCATTTCCGGATTTTCAAGAACTTTTTTTAAATTAATTATCTTTTGTGGGATCTGAGTGTAATTTTTTCAAAAAAGAAGATAAGCTTTTCCCATAACGCAATGTCACAACTTTTTCAAACCCAAACATGAAGCCATGTCTGGGTTATTAGACCAACAAACATGAATCCGTTTGGATTAGTGATAGAAAAAATAATTTATTTATAATATAACTTTTAGAAAAGTATGATTACGTAAAAGTTAGATTAGGTAAAATGATTTATGTTTGGATTGACTTTTATAAATAAGTTAGTTTGTAAAAATAAGTTGTTTGGATTATAATTGAATAAGTAATTTTAATTTGTAAAATTACTAAATTGAGTATGACTTATCTCATATATATTTTTTATTTTTTATTATAAGGGTATTTTTAAAAACGAAATTATATTTCTAACTTATTTATTATTTTCAACTAATTTTAACTGATTTTTCATTATCTACAAATTAGTTATTTAAGGCTTATAATAAAAATTAGAAGAGGTAGTAAATTTCTTAACTTTTTTCTCTCTATATTTCAAGAGTTATAAGCTATAAATCATAAGCATTTAATTTCTACTTATAATTTATTATAGTTTTTTATGTAAAAATCAAATTGCCTTGCTGATCCAAAGGCTATAGAATTTTCAAACGTGCTTGCTGGAAACAAAAAAAAACTCCTCCGGTCCTAAATATAAAACCCTTATATCTTTCCGGTTCTAAATATAAAATCTTTATACATAACAATATAAAACCTTTATACGTACTTGTATAAAAGTTTTATATTTAATATCGGAAGAATAACTTATAGCGCACGAACCGATGAGCCAAACAGGCTCATAGTTAGGGGGTGTTTGGCAAAACCAAAACCTAGGTTTTAGAATCACTTTTCCGCAAAATGAGGTAACCTCCGCCACATATTTACTTCGTAATCCGTAAAAGCACTTCTAAAATCATGGTTTGGTTTCTATCCAAACACCCCCTTAGCCTCCCCTCCAAAATCGTTTTTCTTGTGTGTGAGAGATAAGAATTGTCTTTACAAAATTAGCCTTATTCAACAATCATATTTCCCCTCCTAGCTTGTTTCATACAGGGGGAGGGGAGGAGAGCGGAGGAAATAAGGATTTTGCTCCTCTTCTCTATAGATTGCTAACCCTTTTAGAAACACACCCTCACACTTCACGCCCTAATATCGCACTGAGCTTTCATCTTGTTCTGTCCGTTGCTCGCTAGCCCAGCGATCATCTCCTCCGCCGCCACCAGTTGCCATCGCAAACGATTTTTCAGTTCAGGTTCCGCCTCTTTACTCTTGTTTTGTTCTGTTTGCTGCTCGTTATCTTTTCCTTCGTCCTTTCTGCTCGTCACTCTCTGCTTATTATTATTATTTTTTTTTGTTCTCTCTGCTTGCTGGTTATCTTTCAATTTCGAGTATTCTAGATGCTTCTCCTAACTTTTCCGCTTGCAATCAGTTTCTTATAACAACCTCCATTTGACCTGAGAATAGGATGCTTTTCTTTCTTTCTTTCTTTCTTTTGAAGTTTGAATTGAAGTAACCCCTGTTTCCTACTTTAATTTCACCGTGTGAAACATTTAGTGAGCGTACAAGGGGGTCTGCCTGGCGAGAGCTCCATCTCCTCCTCCTCTTCAACAGCCTCTGTTTTTAACTCTATTTCAATCCCCCCAAAAACTGCAATATTTTTCTCCATTTTCCTGCAACAGCTTCACTTTAGGTGGGTTTTGATTTTATCTATTGTTTTTTCAATCATGCTATTGATGCAATAGTTGGGTCTTTCCTGTTGTGCTTAGTGAACCATGGGCTTGATTCATAGTAGCTAAATTCGAAGGCCAGAAAAAAAATTCTCAATATTCGCAGTAAGCTTTTGAATGTGGTGTTGCTATGTATTCCTTTTAACTTTGTCCTTTCTGTCGGTTTCCAAAAGGAGTGTAAAGTCGAGGAGTGCATGAATTGACTTCTTAATCAAATAGTTGCACTTTTGAGGAATGCTTAAAGTTGTGTGAAGTCATGAATAGTTTTTCTCTGTCTTGAAAGCTCAAAATTGGATGTCTTGATTTTCCATATCAATTAACTCTGTTTCACTTCAATTCTAGTCTTCTAGATTGGTTTACTTGACCAGTGGGAACTAATTTGGAAAAAAGAATGAATTGAGACTAGTATGTGTCAGTAATTAACGGCTTAGCAAATAACTTAGTGGTTACAGCTGGGGATTTAAAAAAAAATGTAAATAAAAAAAACAGGTACAAGATCTTTGTTTAGATTATTGGTTTGGGAGTTTTCAGTCTTTTCTAGCTCTGTTGTAGCAGGACTAGGTTCTCCTGGTTATTGAAATTGGTCGGGCATTCTGAAACTCACAAATTTGGTTGGAACTTGTTTCAACGAATTGAAACTTGGAGTTTTACATGGAAGTTGTAACGTCATAATTCTCACGAGAGACGAGAGCTTGTTTCTAGAGGGAGCCTTTTCTAGCTCAATGAATTATTTCTGTGTTGCTTGTTTATCACCTATTAATATGTGGAGTTGCTCAATTGGTTAATGGAAGTTGTAACTTCATACTTTCATGATGGAAATCTCATGGAAGCTCCTTGAAATCATTTCATTATAACCCTGTGGGAAAAAGGTCTTTCATTTTATTCTTTCACTTACTAATTGAAGTGGTTATTGCTGGGTTATCACATTATTGATTTAAATATGTGTGTATGATAAACATTGTTCGGTTTCTTGTTTTTGCCATTCTGGTAGATTATGTTTTGAACAAATTGTTTGTAACTTTCAATCCCTCTTGTTAAACATCTGAGAACTCAATTGATTTGAAGTTGGAAGCGTAAGTAATGATTGCCAATATTTATGCCGATAACAAGATATATAGTGAACTAATTTTTGCAGATTGTTAAATGAAATCAAACTCTGATATAGTTTTTTCATTCTCTTTTATTTGAGTAATTGTACTACTTAGAGGCTGATTCTTTTGCTTCCATCACAGCTGTGTTTTCCTTGTAATTGCATCATGAGTTTACTGGAGGTCATTAAGAATGCTTCAGTCAATCCGAAGCTGCATGATTCACCACCAGACTACCCAATTGTTATAAACACAGATAATATTATCCCAAATTTAAAGCCCGAACGAGAGGAAGAAATAAGCTCATCATCCATCCTAAAACCTCTCACTGGATGGAATATCTCGCAGACTGATGCTGAACAAATTGCTATTGGCAATAAGTTCTTTGTGGAGCTAAAGACAAAGCTCAAGACTAGTGACTTTGATAAGGGCAAGTTTGTCAGTAGTTTGAATTCATACCTTGAAAACATTAGAGACAATGTAGGAGTTTCAAGTGGGATTGATTCGTCCAATAGTGATTATACAAAGATCTTGATTGACAAACTTCATTTTTTCATTGCTAAAAACGTAGCTGGCCTGATTTTGGAAGGGTGTGTTTCTTTGGAGATATGGGAACTAGTTGAGACTTTGATTGTTAATGGTATTATTGAACGTTCTGCTTATTCAAACTTGGTTTCTAGACTAATGGAGAAGAGGAGGTCCGATTTGCTCTGCTTGTGCATCAAGCATGCATTGGATCTTGGATCATCTGAAATGCTCTGCATTCTGAGGTATTTTCTTTCTCCACCAAAAGGTGCTTTTGACAGTATGGAAGTTGTGAGAAAAGAGTGGGAGAGCCAAGCTCTGTTAGCTCTGGAGAAAGCAAAGGATCGCAAGGGAAGGGATTTGCCTTTGGCAAAGGAGGCTGCTGGTTTGCTTATGCTGGCACATGATGGGTTCTCTAGATCTGAGCTTTGCCTGCATTATTTGTTTGCATCATCTAACGCCAATAGAGATATATCGTCTCCTTCATTTAGCAAGTTGAATGGCAAACAGATGATGAGTTTGATTCGGTATTTAACAAAGTGGTTGAGGAAATATCAGAGGTTTCCACAAGTGGGGCCATGTCCAAGTGCCTCAGCAACATTGGGTCTGAAGGCTTGCGATTGGGTTCCTAAGCTTGAAGTCATTGGGAAATGTCTTGGTTTGGTGCTTGATGTGAATTTTGCTTCATTGGTGATGTATCCAGAATTCCATGAGGAGCTGAGATTAGCAGACGACATTGTTAGTTCTTTGACTGATGAAGCCAAATTTTGTTGCACGCTTGCTGAAGTAGCGGACAAATTATTGGGTGAAGCTAAGGGTGGAAAGAAATAAGATTTGCCCTAATATTCGTTACCCTACTGTGCTAGGGCTTTTGTAGAACCAATTCAGTGCGTGTTTAATTAGAAATGAAATTTGCTGCTCGCTTTTGTTTTGCTTTGTTTTTTCAAAATACATCGCATGGTATAGTTCTATATAAATTGCTATATTCGGAACGCAAATTTTTGTTACGAAACAAAAAAAATAAAGACATCCTTAGAAGATTTTCTTGAAGCATGCATTTTCTTTCCTAATTGAGAGATGCGTATCTGGATTGTGTAATTGTATATTAAAAAAATACTGAACGTATGCTTAGCGGAAAGAAAAAAAGTTCTACCCGCGGACTATTCTTGAAATAACTAATCATTTTGGCCACATTTTTTTTTCTCAATTTTTATATCAGTCCCTATAATTTAAATCATTTTATATTAGTCCCTATGTTTTGCCAGTGCATTGTGATTTAGAGTTAATCCTGTTGGGCATATGTTCTTGGGCTAACACTTTTACCCACAGTATCCAAATCACACATGTCCAGCCCAAAATACTTAAACATCACTTAAAATTATTTAGTGGGCTCGAATTGCATTCCCAAATGAATAATCAAAACTAAAATTAGCCCGTTTTTCACAAAACCAAAGTGGCAAATGATTCTAGCAAACGAAAAACTTCTAACAAGAAACCAACATCTTCCAACTCCAGTCACTTGTCTGGCCAATTTTTTAATCTGCATCTCATATATGCTTTGTCCTCTTTTTCTTCCTAAGCTTAACATGATCCAGTTGGCGCTGCCTTCTCTTTTTTTGAGTAGGCAAGCTCACAGAACTTGCGAGCAGGATCAAACCCTGATTCCTTTCGAGTTTTGAGTTTCGAGCTTGCTTTTGCCTTTATTGTGTTTTAGAAAGGTATGTCAGGTTCATGATTATGTTGAGTTAGAAGCCACTTTTATTTAAATACATCAAAATTTTTTGATGTTGTCTATCCGCATGTATGAGTTCAAAGAGCAAATTATAAAATTTAAATATTATAAGGCCTAACCTAACAAAATCAAACTAGAGAGATTGGGTTTTAAAGAAAAAATGTTTTTAGGGACTAGTTTAAAAATTGATGCCAAATCTAGGTCTAAATTATCCCCCCCCCAAAATTTTGTCTTCCATGAGCACACAACTTACCATCGAGGACTTGTTTTTTTTTCCCCCTATGCATAGATATCCTCTTCTTAAAAAAAATTCTATTTGAAATACTTTCGGATGCTAAATGAAGACACCTCTCGTGGCTGAAATTTAGACCTTGATTTGTTACAATATGAGGGATTAATTTCTTCCACTAAACCTAATTCCCATTAGTTTACTGTTTAGGATTTGAATAAACATAAATCCAAACCACCATAAAACACCAAATCACCAACCTTTTGAGTAACAAAATCAATCTTGAAAGACTAAAAAGGCTTCAATCAACCAACTCACCCACAATAATCTTTTTTCTGCCACACTAAAGAAAGACTAAAGTAATTTATAAGCCATATTTTAGTTTAAAAAGTGACATTTTTTAACCACACGGAAGTGAAACCTAAAACTAATAAGGTCACATTAAACTAAAACAAGTTACTAGTACCAATAGGTTTGGTCTTCATAGCCTTGCCCGATATATGAATAAAAGCCGGTCCGATTTAAGGTAAATGATGGGGACAATACAGAGAACAAGGTGAATCAATGTTTCATAGGTGGGTGGAGAAAGGTGGACTCATCTTTGGAATTATTTTATTGTATTTATATTTAAAGAAGAACATGATAATGAAGAATAGAAATATAGAATTCAATAATATAATCAGTTCAAAACACAAAAATCCAAATCATAGGGCTACTTAGAAACTTACAGACCTGCTCTGCTTGGGCATATCTCAGCATGTTGGGGACTTTAAAGCCTAACAAAGGGTCCACACAACAGAGGCTCATGTGATGATATTTGCATAAGTTTTTTGTTCTTAATTTTGATATTAGATTAAGTTTAGAGCGTCTGGCCTCGTTCTTATCTCTTAACTTTTAAATACAAAATAAAAAAATAAAGCCTAACATTGGTTTTTAATCCTCTTTGTGATGATTCCCAAATGGCAAGCATCTCTGTCCGCCAAAAAAAAAAAGGGTTTGGTATATGAGAATATGATTGGGAGAACTTTACAGATATTTGTTAAGTAAGCATTTTGAGACCACACAACTTCTTGATCAAGATCTTATCCTTTAAGAAAAGTGATTAAAACTCCTCTATATAACGTAGTAATAGGCTATTTATTAGTTTCATATATAATACACCTGAAGGGTCTTTGATTAGAGTCATGAAAATTTTATTTTTGGTATACGTAAAGTAAAAGATTAATGATATAATACATTTTTGCAATAATACAAGTATTACTTTAATGCACTCCCACCTGCCCTAAATATGAAAAGAAGTAAATGGATTTGATTTAATCATAAATTGTAAGACATCAATTCCCTACTCTTAAATTTATAATTTTGTCCCCTAAACTCTCCCTATTAATTGCATATGCAAAGGAGATTTTTCATTAAAGGAGTGATTTTTTGTGCAAATAGTTGAGAGGGAATATACAATTTTTTAACAAACAACTACTTGTTAATTATTTTTTAGTACCTTCAAATTAGTTATCTAATTTTTGTATTTAGAATTGAAGGGGTATTTTATTTTGCGTATCAAAGGATTGCATCAATATATTTTACCAAAAAAACGATTAGACTAATATTTGATAAACTTTTTATAATGAATGTCATATCATTATCTTTAGTTGCCTTTGTTGAAAGATGATATTACTTTAAATTAGCGGTGCATATAAAAGAACACTGATTTTTATGTACACATTTCTTAGATCACATAATTTTCATGTTGACACTAAAATAGCCACAACAATATGGTCAACTAAAACAATCCAATTATGCTAAGAATCCAATTATCATAATTAATTTCCGCAGTACAAGCAAGAGGCTTGCATGACTTCACCATATGAGAGATCAAATCAAACAGAAAAGTAAAATAAAATAAAACATCACTATCAAGTGACCCCATTAAGTAATTCCAGTCCCAATATAACTAACCCACAATAATTATCCAGTTCATCAAGGATTAAAAAAAATCAATAATTTTGGGTGAGGACAAGAAGAGGTTGGGAATGCAAAAGTAAAAAGTACAAAGAGAAAGAGAAGGGAGATTCCAAGGTTTCCTGAATAATGTAAGGAACAAGAAGATAAAGGAAGAGAGAGGGGGAGAGAGATTCTGAAACTGAGTTAACTGAAAATCTGTGAATGTGAGATCATGTTGTAAAAGAAAGGCAACAGTACTTTGAGAATTCATCAAAGAAACAGAGTAGGGACAGAGAGAGGTCCAATCCTACATTTGCCAAACACAATATGGTTGGAATATTGCCCCTTCTGCCCCACTTGTTTCTTTCCCCTGCTTTAGCCTATTCCCTCTTTGTCCAAACATTCTCTTCACACCATAAATCACCATCATTATTGTTATATTATTAGTATAGATTACAAAATCTATATGAGCTGCATCATTCATGACTCCTAATATTATAACCATTAAGCTCCTTCACTTGCTAATTATCTAACCTGAATTAGTTGTTATGCTAATTTTACATTAATTTTTTCAAGTATAAAAGCCTTGTCCAAAAATGAGAGGGTTCATGCAGAAAAATTTGTAGTGGGGTTGAGGTTGTTAGAAGCGAAAATGCTATACAGACTATTTACTGAACGGTTAATATTAGTTTACTTAACAGTTATAGTATTTTTGCATTATTTTTGAACCTTCATGTATATTTTTTGTACAATTTTCTTAACTAACATGTTTGTTAAATGATCAATATTAGTTGGCTTAATGGCTATAGCCTTTTTCAGACCATTTTAAAATCTCAATGGTACTTTTATGTCCAAGAAACTTTTATATTTTTAGGTGCCTATGAAAAAATCCTTCAGGAGTATATTTGCACTCTAATTCTTTTTTCAAAAGTAAAAGTTTTGTCCAGGAAGAGAAGGTCAGAATTCTGATGAGGAGCAACAAGATTACAAGAATCACATGGGGCAGATACAAAGTGACAGTGCAAGGGTTGTTTGAGGCCCAGGCAGACAAGATTGTACTTGGTTCTATGGTACTTGTTTTTTTTGCTCAAAGCGTGACACAACATGATTTTACAAGATGGGAATCCCACATGCCCCATTTTCTTGCGGGAGAAAATTGAAAGTCACAAACTTTCTGATCCAGTCCGTGACTTTCTGATCAAATCTCATTAACAATTTCAAAGAAACAAACCTAGTTCTTAATGTAAAGAATCACATAATTTTCACATTGACACAGAAATGGCCCAACAATAAGGTCACCTAAACAATCCATTATCATGCCAAGAATCTAATAGCAATCATTAATCTCTCTTCATTACAAGAAGCCAAGGGGGTAATTTTTTTTTTTTTTGAAAAAGGACTTAGCTGGTGTCATTGCATCAAATCAAATCAAATCAAACAGAGAAAAACCCTTTATTAAATGGGTTCCTTTTTGTGATGAATATATTCTGCATCAGGTTTGTGATTCAGCAAGGCCCCACACACCAGAACTGAAATGACTCCATTAATGTTAACCCCACTATTGTTGAATTAGTTAACTTATGAGACAATGTAAAAGGATTAAAGGACAAGAGAGAAACAGAGAGAGAGAGAGAGAGAGAGATTCCCAGGTTTCCTGAATAGTGTTAAGGCGGAAGAAGATAAAAGGGAAAGGGGAAGATTCTCAGAGCAGAGGCAAACTGTAAAACTGTGAAATGTGTGAGATCATAATGCGTTGGAAGCCCGCAAAAGAAAGAAAACAGGGAAGCATGATGATCATGACATCAAAGAAACAGGGGAGGGACAGAGCTTAAATCATGCATTCGCTAACAGCGTACGCTTGGACTTGACAAACTTGTCTTTTACTGTCTCTGTCTCGCGGATAAATTAACCTGATTTCAAATTTTGCTATGAATATAGGAAGCTAAATACTCCCTCCGTTCCGTAAGAGACATTTAATACTTATGACATGTTCCTATATATAAGAGACACTTAAAAGTTGTCTTTACTTTTTGTGTTGATTTTCTATTTTACCCATATTTATTGTCTCCAACTCACACTCTCTCTCCTTCCCACTTCTCTTTCTTTTAATAATTTACCATTGTTCTCTCTCATTATTAATGAGGGTAT